CTGAACTTGATTACTGTGAAGATAATACTTCTCTTTGAACAAGATTACACAGTCACAAGGATTGTCGCTCCCTCCATTTCTCTCTCAGGGCTATCCTATACTTTTTATCTAAGGTTCTATTTCAAACTAATGGTTTCAAGGAAATGGAAAGATTATAAAGAGCATTATGCATTTTGCCCTTAAAAGAAACTGTTAAAAGTTATAATAAAATTGTACAGCTGCTAGCAATCATGTGCATTAATATGATGAACAGGAATTAGGCAAGACCATATTCCATGATAACTTATATAATTTAACTCTCTTTTTTGAGACTTCACCAAACATTGATTGGATAATTTCAAATTACCGTAATTCATAGTCCATGTTCTGTATGCTGGGGAAGAACTAGCAATCTATTCAATATTGAACAGCCTTTTATGTTACTCAGTCTCTAACTTCATGAGTTCTAAAACAACAAAATGAAAGAAAACAAAAATAGAAAAGTATTAACTTTGGCCCCATTCACATAGTAGTTGGTTTAATATATTTACCTCCAGTCTGTGAGAAGGCAGCAAAGTATGGAAGCATAAGATACTTCACCTACATTACAAGCAGGTGCACTGTCCTAACAATTTCTGCAGGACAGGTTAATTGATGGATCACTAGGCCAGCAAGAAAACCATTCACCAATTCTAATGTACCCAAGGTTTGGGGAAACACACATTTTGAGGGCTAGAGTAGCAGATTTAGCCACCTGATGCAACCTTCATATAAATACGAGTATCACTCTAGTAATCTTAGTCCAACTTGCTTGGTAGATCCACATAGGAAAAAACAGGGGCCTGACAGGCAAAAGCAGTCCTTATCTAGGACATTCTCTAATAATCTGGAAGCTGCTGCAGCAATAGCTAACTGGTAGACCAAGATCTATCTGACAAGCAAGCCATTTTAAAGAAGATCTGGTTTAATTTCTTGAATGATAGCAGGTAGATTAAGCAATATCTAAACCAGAGGCGTCAAACTCGCGATGTCACGTGACATGTTGCGACGTATCGCAACTTTTTTTCCATTGCCGGCAATGGGGTGGGCATGGTTTTGTTGTGATATATCCGGCCCATCGGCCGGCAGTTTGACACCCCTGATCTAAATAGTAAACCAGAGCCTCTCTGACAAGCAGGTTATTTTATAGAGATCCTGGTCTACCACTTTCTCCAGTGATCTTGGTGCTGTTTTAGTAATAGAAGGCAGACCAGGACCTCTCTAAAGCACACTTTTTGCCTTCTCTAATAAAATTCTTCCTGAATTGTGTCACATATGATCATTGATTCAAAGTGGAGATGTATACTGAAATCCTATCCCTTATGCAGAGATCCTGGCCTACCACTTACATGGTATCCTATACTGTATTTGGTAAATGCTTACCATGTTCAAGGAAAGTTTTAAAGGGGAGAATTATAAAGATAAATAATCATCCACAAAACATTCCAAAATGTATAGTATAGATTGAAAGATACCACGTTTCTTCTATGTGAGTTAGCTCTAAAGCAGCCACATGAAAAAGCAAGAATTTTTATATAATGAATACCTCTCCTTTTCAGGTTTCTGCTATAAAATGTGCTACATTGACTAACCTGTTAAAATGGCATCAGATGTTTCTGGGAAGGGACAGTAGAATGATAGAAGTTAGGTCTGAGGCAACACCACTATAATAGGGGTGTTTCATTTATTCATCTTATTACTCTAGCCACCCATCTGGGTGGCATACAATAAAAAATTAAAAGTAATTACAGGTAGTGCTCAACTTACAACAGTTCATCTAGTGACCATTTGAAGTTACTATGTCACTGAAAAAATGTCACTGAAAAAGTGACTTATGACTATTTTTCATACTTATGGCCATTGCAGCATCTTCATGATCATGTGATCAAGATTTGAATGCTTGGCAACGGATTCATATTTATGACAGTTGCAGTATCTCCAGTTCATGTGAACACCTTTTGTGACCTTCTAACAAGCAAAGTCAAGAGAGAAGCCAGATTCACTTAACAACCAGGTTATTAACTGCAATGATTCGCTTAACAACTGTGGCAAGAAAAGTCATAAAATGGGGCAAAACACACTTAACAAATGTCTCACTTAGCAACATAAATTTTGGGCTCAATTATGGTCATAAGTTGTGGACTACCTGTATATAAAAACAAACAACAAAATGTTAATATTATAATTAAAGGCAAGGAGAGATCAACAGATATTAACAATTGTGGGGCCACCTCAATAACTCACCATTCCCTTGTTTCTCTTCAAAAAAAGTATAGTCTATACAATTTTTATTCTTCAGCTAGCTTATGCTATGACATTCTGTCAAATGTAGATTTTATTTCAGTCTATATTCCTACCCTGAATAAAAAAACTTTTCCCAAACAAGCACTTCCCCATGTGTATTAAGATTACGTTCCTAGAATTCTCAATCATCGTTAGGCCAAAAACATCACTTTCTCTACCTCAGCATTCCAAAGTAGGTCTTCCTAGTTCCTGCTGCACAGTCCCTATGTAGTTACCAAGACATGCAAATATACCTTATGTCTAGACCACCCCAGGCCCAACCAAGAAAACCCCTCCTCCCAACAGTCTTTCAAATTGTGCTAATAGTACCTTTGACCCAGAATTTACTGACGTCAGAGGTAGATGGCCCACACTCTCATAGATGGCCCACTTTTTATCAAGAGTGACAGGCAAATTGGGGAACCGCCTGTTTGTTTATCTTCCTCTTCAGCGTTGTTTATTTTGATGGTACATCCTTCTGGTCCAACCCAGATTGACCTTTCACCTTTCCACATCCTGTTTGCTGGAGCAAACTGTGCAAGGATGGGCAGATGTGTAGCAAAGCCAGGACCACAGTACTTAAAAATATTTTGGGCAATTTTTCCAGGAGACAGGCAATATTTAAATCTGTTATACCTAAGCAACTTGCAATATATGGCTATTTTGTCTCTTAACTAAGGACGAAGTAAGCTTTCAGTCCAGGGTCCTATGAGCACAAGAGCTCCTCATGACCATACTTATGACTACTGATAAATCCTACAATACAAACTCTAATGTCCAGGGAAAATCTTCTACAGAACAACTCAATAAGGTGACAATTGTCTAGCCTGGTACAGACATCTCATAGATTAAATTTCCCCAACATGGAGCCCTTTAAATGTACTGATATAGCCCCATAATTCCCTGAATGTGTGGCCTATGTTGCTTGGAGATGATAAGTATAGTCATCTAAAAGCATCAGGATGGAGAAAGTGGTCATACATGTATGTAATTGTTAAAAGCTAGATGCTTTCAATCAAAATCCTACAAAGAAAACAATTACAAATTTATCTTCCCTTTTAAAAATACATTGGGTATTACATATCCCATTTTTACTGTGTCATAACTCCTACAAAGCTGAAGAGAAATTCTCAAAGTAAAATCTCAAGTGGCCTTTTAAAAATCTTCTTGAATCTGAACACGGCTCTTTTGCGTAATATTTAACATACATGAAAATATAGTCACATCCGCACATTCCTGTTCTGAAGGGTGATTATTCCTATAGGATTCCTCTCACTTTTATTCTGATCTGAGGAGCATCTTCAATTTGTCTTTAGTTTTCTCAAAGCTTGTCACTGCAACAAATCTAGCACTGAATAGTACATCAATTGAGTATGATACTGGCTCATTTTATACATCATGGCTGCTTTAAACATGGTTTCTTGAACAAGCCACAGTGCAGCTTGGTTCATACCACATGCTAAACCATAAAAATTTATAAACTACAACTTTTGGCTTCATGCAATATACCATATAAAGCAAATTATAGCTTAAACGTATTCCATGAACCAGGCCATCAATAGACAGTATCATTCCTGAGTTTCTGACAGGAATCTTTACTTGGAGATGTTGATGATTAAGCAGAAATGTTTTACACACATCTTACTTTCCACTGAGCTATGGCTACTGAATTACCAAGAACAATTCTCTGGTTGCCACCAACTAGAACAATTTATTGAGAAGAATTTTCAACAATTTGGCAATCAGATACATTCTGCATAATCTGAGGACCACCAATTTGAAATAGCCCCACCAGGCAAACCGAAAATCTAGGAACTACATAGAAACCTTTTCTATGAGGAGGAAGGGAGTCATCCTATACACATTAATTGCTTTCAGATTTGCTGATTACATTGTACAGTCCTAAAAGGAATATCAAGCTATATATTGGCAGTTCTTCTGAAGAAAATTATCCAGATGGGCTATTTGGCCTTGGAAAGCCCCCCTCCCCCCCAAAAAAAGGACTTCCAAATGAGAGCTCTTAGATAAAACCAGTCTGAGTTCTTACATACCAGAAACCGTAGTGAGCCACAAGAATATTCTTATTGCTGCTTTATGTATACTAAATTCAGGGTGCCTCAACTGCTAAATAAGACCAGGGTCTCTTCTGCCATCCTGCTCTCATCAAAGGCTCTGGTAGCTCTTTATTTATTATTTACTATTACTATTATCATTATTTATCTAATAAAGCTTTTGGTAAGACTCACATATCATTGAAATTCTAAGCTAATTCATTCTCCATGATATAATCAGACATCTTACTAACTGATCATTTACCTAGCATAATGTAACAACACTTCATTTTCTTTGGTCTTCAAAGCATGAGTGCATAACAGCAGAGAAAGACAAACATTAAATCATCCTATACTAAACCCACATTGCCTTAATGTAACAAAGTCCTTCCCTCCCATTCCCATGGCCCAACCAAACCAATGCTCATCAGTATATATGAAGTTTATTGGAAGAGCAATCAAATGATCTAGCATGGGACCAAAATAAAATATTGGATAAAATGGGATGCCCAATAGATATAATATTAAAACATTCAAAGCAATATACTAGTAGAGTCCATAATTGATTACGATACAGTTTATCACATTAACTTAGGAGAGGTCTTTTCCCCACAGCACAAATGCTAAATAATAAAAGGAAAATTTTACCTCAGTCTCAAATGTGTGCAGGAAAGTTTCTTCCTTAAAGGGTTCGGTCTTTAGACGTTCTGAAATAGAAATATCAAAATAAATAGGGAGAGTTTTGAAGCAGCCACGCCTGCAAGCTCTCTACTGCTATTCAGATTTAAAAGAAAATTCAAGTAGTCACATCCACATCTGAAAATCAGTAAAAAGATAAGCCAATATTTTCACCATGCATCAAGCCCAATGAACGTGACATCACAGTCCTCAATAACAGGCACACATAACCCACCTGGTTTAAATTTTCTAGCCATGTCAATACATGTGCTATCTCATATATGGACATAAACATGTACTACTGAAGTCCAAAGTCTAAAATTCAATCCTCGTTTTGACAGAGTCCAATGGGTTGGAAAAAGTCACTTGTGAATAACTGCAGATCCCTAAAGGTAGCAGATATCTCCTAGCTATATAAACATCAGAGGGAATAACAGTGTTGGCATGTGGTCAACACTATGGAAAAGCAACATGGAATACTAAATGAGAAGTCTTAGATCACATTCCATCCAGTATCCACCCACATTTGATGAGGAGTGGAGGAACAAGCATGAACATTTGATAAATAATTTGTAATTTGGTTAGCTTAAGAGTACAGTTGCAATGAGCTCTTGAACTGGTGTCCTGTCTCAGAGAATTAAATTCATCAAAGCCTCAACCCAATTCTTGCATTACTGAAGCATGAAATTTTCAGTTCTTTAGATCAGAGGTCTTCAAACGTGGCCCTTTTATGACTTGTGGACTTCAACTCCCAGAATTCCTCAGCCAGCATGCCTGGCTGAGGAATTCTGGGAGTTGAAGTCCACAAGTCATAAAAGGGCCAAGTTTGAAGATCCTTGCTCTAGATGGTAAGTATGAGGAGAGCCAATATCTCAAGCAGAAACATGAGCTTAAGTACAACTTTGTGATGGAGAGAATGAAGGAAAAGCAGTTTCCATTTGCTCCAAATTCTCCAAATTTACATGTGAAAGTAAAAGATTATCCAATTCAAATTTCTCTACAGCCAAGCACTGGCTGTAGTTTCTTGGTCTCTAGCACACATTCAAAGACCTCTTTGAATAGCCCTCAAGCACTTCAGCTACTGGTCACTATCTAATATTTGATCAGTTAGTAGCTTGGAGCAGTCTTTTAAAAAAAAAAGGGGGGGGAGCAAGGCTAGGCTGGATCAGGACAGCTGTAAGCACAATGAAGATCAAACAGTATCTCACCTAGACTGAGAGTAGCTCCACTCTCCCGATAGTCTTCAATCTCTGCATCCTTCTGAAGCAGCAAAGATGCCAATTCTTGTACCTGAGAGTGCATGGCCAAACTCATTGCCATTAGAGGCCGCAGAAGGTGGCAGGACATCTGCCATAGAGAAGAAAAGGCGTACGTAGCAGCAGCAACATGCAGAGGGCCAGGCACCACCTAACAATTATTTATAACTGATGCTTCATTTCAGCATTTTTAGACAGGACTGCTATACGGGACCAGCAAAGATAATATGCAAGATTGAAAAGATTTATCTATTATTTCTTTGCAGACCACAGCATGTGCTTCCTGCTTTCTTGCTGCCTTCCAGAAGAGTCTATCTGCCTCACAGAGGAAAGGATTTTTTTTTCCTGCAAAAAATGAAACTCATAATTCAGATATGGTCTCTGCTTTATCCAACACCATCCAAAAGGATACATAGGAAAAAATAATGCACATTATTACAGCTCAAGGAAGGAGAGATGCTAAAATCCAAAGGAATCATTATATTTGAAATAGGATGGTGCCAGGAATCTGTCTCTTCTATACATTCATAGATTTTGAATATGATTATGGTAATTAGTGTTTAGAAGGCCAGATCCTGAAGTTGAAACTCAAGTACTTTGGCCACCTAATGAGAAGGAAGGATTCACTGGAGAAGAGCCTAATGCTGGGAAAGATTGAGGGCAATAGAAGAAGGGGACGACAGAGAATGAGATGGCTGGATGGAGTCACTGAAGCAGTAGGTGTGAATTTAAATGGACTCCAGAAGATGGTAGAGGACAGGAAGACCTGGAGGAACGTTGTCCATGGGGTCGCGATGGGTCGGACACGACTTCGCAATTAACAACAACAACAACAAATTAGTGTTGGTAAGATTCATCTTCTCCCCCCAAAAATCCTATTTTTTTTTCATCCTGAATGGGGGGAAATGTTTTAGGAAAGAAATACCTAACAGCCCTTACATATCCTTCTGTAATACTCCAGATCTGCCTCCTCCAATTTAGTTCTCTCCAGTTGTTTTATTAGAAATCTTATCATCCTCAACCAGCGTGGCCAGAATTCTTTAAAAATAATTCTATCAAAATTCTTGCAAAACTAAAAAAGTTGTTCTATACCAAAATCACATCTCTCTATTTAAAAAAAAGAGGCATGTCTCTTATTTCAATACGAGTGTAATAAGTGAAACTCAGAATACAAGATATCCAGATGTTTGAGAACTGGCAAAAATACATTACCTGAGCATGGAGTGCCCCCTGGTGCACTAATGGCAAAATTATAACTTGTAACTAAACATAAGTATGACACATTTATCCATTTACTATAGCAGAGTTGATTTGAAAGATCACCCACTTGCTATTTTCTTAGAACATAGAACATAAAATCATAAGGCTGGAAGGGACCTTGGAGATCTTCTAGTCGAGGAATAGGCAACCTTGGCTTTTTTATGACTTGTGGATTTCAATACCCAGAATTCCTGAACCAGCCATGCCTGAACCAGCCATGCTGACTCAGGAATTCTGGGAGTTGAAGTCCACAAGTCATAAAAGAGCCCAGGTTGCCTACCCGTGTTCTAGTCCAATCCCCTGCTCAAAGCAGGAGAGCTTAAACCATCCCAGTCAAATGGTTGTCCTGTTTATTTCTGAAAACCTCCAGTGATGGCACACCCACAATTCCAAGAGGCAAGCTATTTCTTGATTTGCTCTGTCAGAAAATTTCGTCTCATTTCTAGATTGGATTATTCTATAACAAGCTTCCACCCATTCTTGCCCTGCCCTCGGGTGCTTTGGAGAATAAGTCAAATCCCTCTTATGAATGAAGGCAAATATACATGTCCCAGGATAATGTTGCAGGATCCAATCTGGGTGGGTCAATAGAACTTTTGGACTTGTGCTGGAGCCCTTCCTTGGGGAACTTCTCTCTACCAGTTAGGTTTGCTTTGTCCTGACTTTGCATGTTAGATGAAAGCCAATTGTAGGCTATTTAGTAAACCACAGGTAAACAAGCCATTTACTTCTAGCAGAAGTGGAGCATCTTCCAGTAGGCTGGGTTGAACCAATAGCTATAAACAGAAAAGTGACACTTCAATATATGACATCAATATTAAGTAATCTTTAATTTCTGCCTATGCAGCAATCCCAAATCCAAGGAGATTTTAACAAGAAATCTTCTGATAGCCAAACATCCTCACGCCTCTAGAAGAGAAATTTTCAACTTTTTCTCCTATCTGAAAACATCATTCTTCAACTCACCATCTCAAGAGGTGCTGCAACACAGCGAAAATCCCAGCAGAAGGGCAATCCTAGAAGTTCACTCTTCACATGGAGTATCAATGTGCTGGAGCTAAGATGACAGGAGAAGGAGACGGAGTTCTTCTCTCTCCCTTCCAGAAGAGGACAAACTAGGTTGGACAGGCAGTTCAGGATAGAGGCTACAGGAGCAGTTAGTCGTTTATTTAGCTCCTACGTAAAATGAAATATTAATAGTATTCTTCAAAGAAGATAATATCATCTCATTTCATAGTTGTGTATGTAAGCACCTAAACTGTCCAGAAGCTTCAGAGTCCATATTAAGATTGCTGTAAGACCAGATTCAATCAATTTTTTTTTAATCTATTCTGTCCAATCCAGGAGTAATATTCTGAAAAATTATATTTCTATACATTCTTAATAATTAGGTTTATTTCAGGAATAACACATTGATTTCATTTTATATTTTCATTTCAGATATGGATGGCCTGGATGACTTTTTCCTAGTGAAGTGGAAAAACAAGAGGACAATTTACATAACATCTGCTTCTTGCAATTCAGAATTTCCTCTCTGCAGATTCCTTTTCTTAGGATTTTCCTTTACATTTAAATATCTGCTGAAGTGGACTGATCAGTTTTTTCCAGCCTTCCCTCTTCCACCTCCATCCCCTAATTGGATGTCTTTACCTATAAATTTCACTATCCAGTATCATACAGGTTGTCAATTTTTCAAGTTGTATTCCAGCATATCTGAAAAGCACCAATCTGAAGAAGAGGTAATCCTCGACTTTGACCAGAATTTGGACCAGAATTTACATTGCTCAGCAAGGTGAGTCAGTCACATCCGATTGTATCTTTTTGCCACAGTGATTAAACAAATGACTGCAGTTGTTAAGTGAATCATATGGTCATTAAGTGAATCCAGCTTCCCTTATTGACTTTGCTTGCTGGAAACCACTTGAGGTGGTCTCAAATGGCAATCACATGACCCTGGAATGTTGCAACCATCATAATATGTGATAGTTGGAGATGCTGAGGCAGTCCTAAGTGTAAGGACTGGTCATAAGTCATTTGTTCAGTGCCATTGTAATTATGAACAGTCACTAAATGAACGGTTGTAAATCGAGGGCTACCTGTAGAATAAAATGCACTGTGTGCTCATTTCATAATTTTAGTTTTTTACTTACCTTTGACCTCTGTTGTATCTTTTCAGTATTTGGATTTTCATACCACATATTATTGAGGTCAGAGAGGAGCAAGATATAGGTAGAGTCAGTAAACCAAGCCTTAGCCATCAATCTGGTAGACTCAGAAAAACAAACTGAAGCCCAAGGCTGAAGAAGGAGTTTAATCTGTAGATCATCTGAAGTCTCCATCCTGTAAGCAAATAATGTCATTCAATTTTATTTCTTTAAAAATGTCATAAATTGAAGATATTGGCAAAGCTCTACAAAGATCTATCGTAGCATGCTGAAGTATAGGAAAATATAGCTTTAAAAATCAATCCAGATTTTTATACTGAAGCTGGAAGGCTGTGTTTTTATTCTAAAAAATCATCTCTGAATTCTGAAGTAATTCATTAAAAAGTCTCAATGTACTTCAAGTTCAGATATATAACACGACTTACTCCAGTCTTGCTGCATTTTTTTTTTTCTTGGAATAAATACCGTAGATGCAAAGCCACTCAGATCACAAACTAATGCCTAGATGTAATTTGAATATCACCTCCAGGTCCTATATTCTAAGATAAAAAGGCAGTTGATAGTTTATAGCAGGGGTACTACTCCAAAACAAAGTGGTGTTATTAGCCATCAAACCTCAAATGTACACTTTTCTCAAAAGGTTTCCACAAATTTGGCCACTACTGTACTACCCTTGTAAATATGAGTCAGTTGCTAAGCATCTAAATTTTGATCACATGACTAGGGGGTTACTGCAAGGGTCACATGTGAGGAAAAACAGTCATAAGTCATACTTTTTTCAATGCTGTTGCAACTTTGAATGGCCACTAAATGAACTGTTATAGATCAAGGACTACCTATACACAGTATTCAAAGTCTCCAGAACTTGTGGTGTAGACGTAAAAGATGAGAAAGAGGAAGTAAAAGATCTAAAAATTTGCATTTTTAGATGGGAAATTTAGAGGGGAAATTTGTAGATATTCTGAGAGCAACCAGATGTTGAGATTATTTCAGGCCGGACTCAACCTGAACAACTCGCACCAAATTCATCTTTAAAGTGCTTTTCAAATGCTTCCAAGAGAGGGAAAAGGCAAGACCCAAGTGGGAGTGCAGCAGGGAAAGAGGCTAGGATAAGGGGAGAAATCCTACCGGCACGGTCAGATAACAGGAAGGAAGATCCAAAGACAGGTCGCAACAACAAAGCCTCCCTCGGCTTTGCTCTCACAGCATTTTATCAGCAAAGGCAGAAGAAATGCAGCCCGCGAGGAGGGTTTTTTAAAACAGCACTTTCCAACAGCCACACTGTACTCATCCGGGATACAGCCTTACCAACGATTTTTAGCAATTGGAAACTACCATTCCCACAATTCCCTCCTCATCTCCCAAGGCATGCTGGAAGTTGTAGTTAAATGGAAAGGGACGCCGCTGAGTCAATGTAGGTCAGGGCGAGCCGTACTGCGTTTGTTTGTTTGGGTCTAAGAATTAGCGATGTGGAGGCAGGAGAAGATACTTCAAATATTACATTTCTGTACTTCGTTGGCTGTCCTTCTTTATAATGCTAACATACAGACTCCTTCCGCACGCGGTATGTCTGAGGTTACTCAGAGGAAAGCAGGGAGAGGTGCCGGAAACAATCCTATTGCTTCTGCTGCGCCTTGAGTTTGTTTACTACCTGACTCCTCTGACTAAAAGAGGATGTGGTACATTCATCTGCTTTTTAAAAATAGGCACGAACATAGCCCCTGAATGCCTGTAGTAAAATAAGTAAAGCTCAGAACCAAACAAGATGCAGCCTGCACTAGTCCAGCGGTCCCCCCCTCCAAAAAAGCTGTACTTTAATCTTGAAACAAAAGTGGAAATGTTTTATCATTTATCTGCTAACTATAATTTGCTACTTGTTTAAAAGAGCAAAATAAAACAGAACAAAAACAAAAAATGATACCGGTAGCTACTGTCTGCCTCAATTGTGCTATCTAAATCTAATGCAAATATTCTTTCTGATATTAATTCATAAACATGAGTGATTGACCAGATAAAGGGATCTTGATGAAAAACAGATCCTGATGTGAAAAGCCAAATGTTTGAAGCCATTAAAAATTGACCCCAAAATGAAACACTCACTACATTAATATACTGTAAAGCTTTCCTCCTCCCTGTTAACTTGTACTGCTAGTTCTTGGCTGGAAACTTCAGATAACTTCTAGATGACATTTAATAGTTGTTCATATTTTTGAAGTCCAGATCTGATAGTCTTATTGTTAATTATGCTATATTTTGTGCTGTTATGTTTTCCATATTTTATGTATTTTAAAATATGTAAAATAAATCATTAATTACATGTTTATTGTAAAACTCAATATACATAATTGCAGTGTGTAGGACCTTCAGAATTATTGGATTCTGAGACAATCTCAGCCTAAGTCAGCAAAGATTATTTTAATGTAACCTGACAGCACTGGGAGGAATATCTCTTTTCTAGATACAGGGCAATCTGAATGATAATTTTTTTCATTGAATAGTTAAAGATTCAGATACTTAAAGATGAAAGAAAAGTACAAATAAAATTCATCAAATTCATTATCCAATACAACCACTTTAATATAATTGGGCTCTGAATTCTGGTCTAGGTTTGCAAAGTGCCCACTTCAGTGTGGAGTAACTATTCACCCAAGCGGAAAAATAAAACTTATTAATGCAAGTTACAGAGATGGAAACAAACAAACAAATATCTCAGACAAAGAAACGCTAAAGGAACCATTTTAAAATACATGCCTAACAAAGATTGTCACATTATTTTTGTCTCCAAGGTAGTCTGCAAACAAAATGTTTGAAATTTCAAAGTAATTTATATAGTCTTTGTAGAATGTTTTTATAGGAAAAAAAGATTATTTTTAAATCAACAGAGAGGAATTATCTCATGAACCATTGATCTACCATGATTATCATTCTCCAAATTTTCTTGCATAATTTTAAATTCCTTTTCTGTTTCCAGCTCTACTTCTGATTCCAGTTTCACCATTTCCCTTTTCACCAGTAGATCTGTGGTTTCTCCATCTAAATGGTGCAGTTCTTCCAGTGGATAACAATTCGTAGTCTCCTGTTTGCTTTCCTCAAGGGGACAGAGAAGACAGAAAGGAAACCCTTTACACCATGATGGCGGCAAATGCCTTTGTGGGATAAATAGTAGTTTACATCTTTGTGCAGAACCCTCCTCCTTTCTGTGTTGAAACGAGTTGCTTCCAGTTTCTAGATTTCGTGATGACAATGGATTGAGTAGTCCACGTTCTTGCAGAGTACCTTGGAAAAAATGATCACATCAATTCAAAATCTCCATAAATATGGGTTGTAATTATGAGGAAATTTGATCTTTTGGTATTATGGCTCCGCATCTTTTTCATTGTTTGTAAAATAATACAAACTGCATCTTTTGGCCCTCAAAGCAGTTTGTGATTTTAAAACTGTCTAAGCCAGGAAGTGCTGTAATAAGCAAATAAAAGAATTCCATAAGAAGCTAAGAATCAATTGTATCAAAATTTTGTAAAAAAAATTGTTTTGACCTGCTGCCTTTAATAACAAGACCTTGCTAACATTTTAGGAGAGAATTTTTAAGAAGGGTGACTTAACTGAGAACAGTATATCTTACAGTTTAAGCAAGTATACTTCTGTTTGAAGAATGTAACATAGTGATGTCCCATCTCTAAAAAGCTTTGAGAAAACAACTTTCAGAATAACAATCAAAATACCAATTAGAAAAGTAAAGTCAAAAGTTATTCCACTAATCAATAAATAGACAAAATTATTTTTAGCAATATGACTAATCCAAAATTCTTACCAGAGTAGCCATAAGTACAAATATTCTTACATGCAGCAATTATTGTCCTCTGGTAATAAGATTAAATTATGAACAATTAACATTGGAAGACCTGCCTCAATAATTCATCAGAATAAGCAAATCTGTCTCCTCACCTGAGACTGTGTTTTCTAAGAAGAAGGATAGGAATCCAGTTATAAAAGAAGGCACCATCAACAAAGAAAGCAGAAAGAGGTCTAACGGGATATAGCCTGTAGAAAGAGCATCATTATTAATTTAACAATATCATGTCCTGATGTCTTATACATAATATTTCCCGGGTTGATCTAACTAATTTAATTCACAAGCAAAGAATTAAAATTAGAAGTGGCAAAATAAAAAGATATTTCTTTACTCACTTTTGTTCAAATAGAGCTTTTGCCTAGCAATTACATTAGAAAGGGAATTCCTAAACAATGATCCCACAGACAGGAATGTCTGAATAAAGCTCTATTTGCACATCTTCACGCTTAGGAAGCTTCATATGGGAAAAATAACATCTTGAACAATTTGTCTAAAATCATTTATTTCTGTTTCTTTTTAATTTCAATATATTTTAATTCAGAGGCCTAGATCAAGGGACACTTAATTGTTTGAAGATTCTAAGTTCTCTCATTATTATAACTTCAAAAAGAATTACTTATAATTTAAAGACTTAGTTCACACGTGCCCAAAAATGTTAGCTTGGGAAAACAACATGTTTCAGTGAATATATTACCATTAAAAGTGATTTTATTTTTTTTCTTAATTCTAATTCACTTTCAGAATGTATTAACATAGGCAGAGTATATATGTGCTCCCCAGATATTTTGATTAGAACTCTTATTAATCTCAACCAGGATTAGAAATAGACATGCTGGTGGGGAATGAAACGAGTCATTAAAATAAAACATCTGGTTAAAAAAAACCATTGCGTTTTGATTCGTCTTCTTATAGCTCTGAGCATGCAGAAATCCTCACCCCACTCCATCCCCAGCCAGTACCTGTGGTGAGGGATCCAGGTGCCCCAAACAGCCACTTTGGAACCAGAAGTCCCATGAACATGGTGAAGCCCACAATAAAAATATTCCTGCCCGAATCAATATCTGTGTATTGGAAGTAGGAGACACCAGTGCCCACCGCTACACTGTATGTTACGCAAAGCACTCCTCCTGAAGACAGCATTGGTGATCAGAAATCCCCAATAAATGAAAAAAAAAAACAGAATTCAGTTGATGTTAGGATAGAATAGTAGAATAAAGAGTAATTTTAGACAACCATCTCCCAGTGCTACCAATCAACACACATTCTGCAGCTTTTCCATCTTTTTCTGCTTAGCAGATTTGATTTTATTTTTTTTGTGGGAGGAAAAAAAGGATTGAAAAATTCCAATGGCTGTTGCAAATAGTGTTACAAATGGAAATCAGTATTCATACCTCGGTTCCCATAACATTCCATAAATAAGGCACAGTGATTTTTAAAAATTGTCAAGAAGCACCCACAATCAAGAGTGCACCCCGACATTTTCTGGGAATCTAGCATTGCTAAAAATGACCATGCGGAGTCCCTGTCTGCAGAAATAAAGTTCCAGAATTATCTGGTTTTTTTAATTTTAATTTAGATATAGCAACCAAACAGAACAGGTACAGACTCCAGCTGATAAGTTAAGACTGCAGGAACAACCATTGCAACCAGCCTCCCTTCTATGGAAGACCTGTATATTGTGAAGATCAGAAGAAGGGCTGAGGAGATATCTGCAGACCCCCTTATACCCTGGACACAAACAGTTTCAACTCCTCCCCTCAGGATGGTACTACGGGGCATTGCAAGCCATTAACAACTAGACACTGGGACAGTTTTTTCCCTTGTGCCATCACTCTGCTGAACACCTAATTCTCCCAATGCTGTCTAATGTCTATGTGTATTTACCCACATAGTATGAGTGTAGCATTATTATTTATGTTTCTTATTATCTTTCTTACTCCCACCCAGTGCTTTTTTTCTAAAAAAAAAAAAAAAAGGTGCCGGAACTCACACACGTCATACAACCCGCCTTGCCTACCCTATAAGGTTCCATTCAAAAAAGCTCCAAAAATGCTCCATTCTGCGCGTTCTATGAGAAAAAAAAGCCCTGCTCCCACCTCTTATTGTTGTTGTTGTTGTTGTTGTTATTATTATTATTATTATTATTCTGTTACTTTGCATGTACACTGAGAGTTTCTGCACCAGAGACAAATGCCTTGTGTGTCTAATCAAACCTGGCCAAATAAAGTATTCAATTCAATTCAAAAAAGAGGCAGGACCAGTTTACCTCACTGATGTGAATAAGCAGATAGTGGTCCAAGGTACCTCAATCTATGCACAGGGAGATATACAGAAAGCATTTATTACCATGAATTCCAAGAGGGATGGTGGTAAGAAATCCCATGAGACGGGGAGAGAAGCCCAACACTACGCATGCCAATGCACCAATCCACACTGAACGAAATGAGGT